GTTTGTTACAAAGACAACTGGGCATGCTGGTTATGACAGCTGCACTAAATGTGTTCAGCGAGGAGAGTTTTCAACACATGTTGATTTGAATAGCACGCTTTCAGACCTGCGAACGGATGAATTTTTTCGTAGGAGAACCTAGGACATCACACGGGAGATTCTATTTTGGAAGAACTTGGTATTGGAATGGTGTCGCAGGTAGCACTAGATTATATGCATATGGTGTGTTTAGGAGTCGCAAAGAGACTTTTAAGCCTCTGGGTAAACGGAACCAGAGATGTCAAGTTTGGCGACAAAACTAGGGAATCTGTTAGCAAATTTTTATTGAAATCCAAACCCCACATTACTGCAGAATTCTCTAGATTACCCAGAGTGCTTAAAGACTACGTCAATTGGAAAGCTACTGAGTTTCGACTATTTTCACTGTGTTTAGTACCAGTTGCCTTGCAGCCAGCATTGCCAAATGATTATTATATCAATTTCACGTAGTTCAGTTTGGGTATAAGAATCTTGTGTGATCCTGAGAAATGTATTGATAAAAATGATATGGCTGAAGAATTATTCGACAAGTTTTTCAACGACTATCCCAAATTATATGAAGCTGGGAGAATGAGTTACAATACTCATAACTTGATTCATATTTCCGATGGCGTTACGGCCTTCAGTTTTAGTTTGGATAGATTTAGTTGTTTTCCTTTCGAAAACTACTTCAAACAAGTAAGAATAAAAAGTAGGACAAAAATGCTATGAATTATGCGCATAAGTGAGCAGCACTATCCAAACATGCAATATGGAACAACGAACGGCTTAGTATAAATTATTTTCAAAGGTTTTTTAATTTCTAATAAATCAGCAAATAATCTTTATTTGGGCTCGGATAATAAATTATTGTTAATTCAGCATATCCATGATCTAAATAGAATTGTGTGTCTAGTATACTGAAAATTTATAAGACTAAGAGAGTTAATGACTTGATAATCCCGATATGTCTGGAATGAAAGCAATCGGGCATAATTCTCTCAAGATATTAAATATCTTGATATCGGTCAAAATTTAAAAGGTGAAATGCCTTATAGCCTACATCTCTTCCCAAATCTAGTATTGAGATTGGTAATGGGAAAAGAGAGTAGGCACCCATTAGAGTGACTTTATAATTTCCAAAATTGCAGTATTTTTTAAATTCATTTTTATTAAACATTAAAATCAGTGCGGAGGAATCTGAAGGAAACATAGATTTTCCAGGTAAGGGAATAAATACAAGATGTCAAAAAACCACGAAATGTAAGTGCAGACGGTGCACTGAAAAATAAATATGATGCTTTATCGGACAGAACAAACATGGATTCCGATAGGGAGATTGAGGATTATAAGAAGGTGACACGCCGCAAGAGGGCAAAGAAGAACAAAGAGCCCGATGAAGCTTCTGTCGAACCACAACCATCCACCTCAGGCATACAGACAGTACCACCTAAGACAGCACTGCTGAAAAAACCCAGTTGAGCGAGGAAAAAATACCTCCTATTATCCTAATGGTAGAACTGGAATTAAAGATTATCCGCTACGTCCGAGAGATAACAAAAATAAATTTTAGATATTAGTTGCTGAAAATGAATTTGCATAAAATCTTCACAGATTCAATTTCAGACCATAAAGTCATCAAAAACATTCTGCGCGATGTCACTACCCTTTTAAAAATCGCATTAAGTGGGCTACATCCATCAACATCTGAGGCAGAGATCTGCGAAGACTTGCAGCTGGAAGGAACCAAGGTTGCACAGGTAATACAGATAAAAAGGAAACAATCAGACGGTAGTTAACATAAGCTATCCATATACATAGTAATAGTGAATAAAAACCAGGACATGTCGGAGCTATATGACATATAATGACAAGTACACCACAATACTTAACTTATTGACAACAGGTCCATAAACGACAGGCGCGACATACACTTAATGCACTTTAACTCGAACGGACTTAAAAACAACGTTAACAAAATACGATCTGGACATTATGCTGATGAACGAAACACATCTGAAACCTACGGGCGGACACTACATCAACAACTACAAAGTTTACAGAAACGACAGACAGACAGACGCACGCGGATGGGGCGACGCTGCAATTTTGATCAAGTCTAGCATCAGACATGAGCAAGTGCCAAACCTGACGGCGGGCGGTTCTAAAATAACAGCTATCAATGTATAAAAGAGTAATCAAAAAGTAACTACAATATCGATTTACATCCTGGCAAGCGGACTGCAACATACGGACTTACAAACACTACTGGACTCAAACAGATTTGTACTTATGGCAGGAGACTTTAACGCACAACACACATCTTGGAACTGTAACTTCAACAATGCAAACGGAAACAGACTCTACGAATACCTGACCACACACAACACCACAGTAAAATCAAAGGATGGAGGCACTGAAACGCCTCGAAACACTTCTAACTGACCTCCACAAGATGATTAAGTAGAAATCCAACATTCACATGGAGATTAAGACAAAAACGAGTAGTGTTGCAACTGCCATGACGCGTTTTCTCGACCTCGATGATCGATGGTTGGAGGACCTACGGCATCCCACGCCAAAGAAAAACAGCCAAACTGCTGTGGTAATTGAAGAAGTGAGAGACACCGGAGCCGAAGCCGACGATGAATCCGTCGCTGAAGAAGTAAAAACAATTTTGAGCACTGGAAAGAGAAAGGACCGGAACTCTCCAGACCCGACGTACGACCAGATCGTGAAAAAGAAAGACCTAAAATAAAGTCCACCGAAGATTGTGGCAGAAAGCCAAACAAAACGAGGTGAATGATTGGCATAAGGTTCAAATCAAAAAAAGAATAAAGAAGGCTAGCCAAAGAGCAGCTTGTAAAGCAGCAGCCAAAAGAGTGCCGACCGGAACCTAAGAGGAAGAAAACGCGGACATTTCTCAAACCAGACGTAGTTCTAATTCGACTAGCAGAGAAGGCAAAGTATGCCGAGATACTACGTCGACTAAAACAGGACATTCCTGACGAGCAGGTCCGGACGACGGTAGATAAGATTAACAAGACCAGGACCGGAGACATGTTGCTTACAATCTCGAGGAAGTGCGTAGATAAGGACCAAGGACTGCAACAGGCAATCGCAAGCATCCTTGAAGATGACGCCAAAGTGTTTTGCAAAGGGCCACAAGAAATAATCGAAATCAGAGACATTGATGACGATACAGCTAAGGCCGACATTCAGACTGCTCTAAAAAATGCACTTAAAGAAGCCAGTGAAACAACGGCGGAGGCAATCAAGTTACGTAAAGCCTACAGAGGCACCCAGGTTGCTACAGTAACGTTACCAGTAGCCACGGCGCAGAAATTGCTTGAAGGAATCGGCAAAATCCGAATTGTCTGGGTAAACTGCCGTATAAGAACAACCAATAGGCCAACCAGTGTTACAAATGTTGGCTTTTCGGGCATCATGGATTTCAGTGCAGAAGTAGAGTGATCCGTTTCAACCTTTGCATTAGGTGCGGACAAGAAGGACACAAGATCGCCAGTTGTCCAAATCCAGCAAAATGTGCACTATGCGCAGAACACTTTTGTCAGCACTAGTCTCGTCAGAGGTAACTGTAACTGGAGGGTGATGGATATGTTGCGATCACAATGCAATACTTTGGGAAATATCGTCCAAACAGAATCTTAAAAGACCTATCCAGCAAGTTAACTGCGCTGGTTGGAAAACAAAATCTTTTGACCGAGATGCATTGCTAATAGCCCTTGACGTTGGATGCGCGGAAGAAAGGACCAAAACCCCGATGAAAAGAATGACCCAGGCTTGTGATGCCAGTATGCCCCGAAAGGGTGGCATAAATTTAAGATCTGCCGTCTATTGGTGGAATGATAACATCAGTGTCCTTCGTAAAGAATGCCACAGCGTGGCTATAAGCGACCTAACAGCGAGGAACTAATCGCAGAGTACAAAAAAATCTCGTCGAGAATTGAATAGGGCTATCAAAGAAAGTAAACAAAGATCTCATTTGTGAGGTGGACAAAGACGTTTGGGGTAGGCCTTATAAGGTGATCATGACACTGCTGAAAAAGAAACAAGTGCAGTCGCTTGTCCTTATTTTCTTCGAAAAGTTGTCACTGCGCTGTTTCCATAGCAACGCAGTTTCAGCTACCAGTTGGCATCAAGTAAACTGGATGGCATCCCACCAGTCACTGAAGATGAGTTAATGGAGGCATGTAACCGTATAGGAAATAATAAAGCGCCAGGATTAGATGGTATTCCTAACATTGCACTGAAAACCGTTATTAAGGCAACGTTTACAACACATGCCTGAAAGAAGGGACTTTTCCCAGAAAGTGGAAGCAACAGCGGCTTGTACTTCTCCCTAAGAAAAATAAGACGACAGAAGAGCCGTCATCTTACCGTCCACTCTGCATGCTAGATACAGCTGGTAAGATATTGGAGCGAATAATTCACCAAAAAATTGAAGCAGTCGTTGACCCACTTCTGCGGACAGCCAGTATGGATTCCGGAAAGGACGATCAACCCTGGACGCAATAAAGCTAGTTGCCGATACTGCTAAAAAAGCAATCGAAGGAACAAGATGGAAGGGAGGTTCAAAAGAGTACTGCCTTGTGGCCACACTAGACATCAGGAACGCTTTCAACTGCGCAAATTGGGACTGCATAATGCAAGCTCTTGAAGAAAAGAATGTACCGGGTTACATATGTAAAATAGTGGCAAGCTATTTTACGGATAGGGTCCTGAAGTATGACGCGATGAACGGCCCAAAAGAATATAATATCACCGGATGTGTTCCTCAAGGCTCAGTTCTTGGTCTACTTCTGTGTAATATTATGTATGACGAGCTTTTGAGATTAAATATCCCAAGACGCGCCAAACTAGTGGCATGTGCGAACGACGTAGCCGTAGTGATCGTTGCGAAACATGTAGGCGAAATACGTCATATTTTCGACATTACTTTCGAGAAAGTAAATCGGTAGATGGATACTGTTAGTCTTCAACTAGCTAAACAAAAGACGGAAGCAGTACTCATCACCAGCAGAAAAACTAGAGAGACCATTAAACTGAAAGTCGATGAACAAGAGATTATATCACAACCTGACACCCAATACTTAGGAGTGATACTTGACGCCCGACTAAATTTTAAACAGCATGTAAAACAAGTAAGTGACAAAGCATCTGTAGTGAGAACTTGTCTTGCACGATTGATGCCTAACATCGGCGGACCAAAGCAGAGCAGAAGACTTACACTTTCATCAGTAGTTGCGTCAGTGCTCACTTATGGAATACCTATTTGGGAAGACGCACTAGAGCTCCAAGAATCATGGAGAAAAGTTGGTCCTGTATACCGCTTGAGTGCTTTACGAGTAGTATGCGGCTTCCGCACAATATCTGAGAAAGCGGTATGTGTCATTGCCGGGCCTCTGCCTCTTAGAGTCTTAGCTCAGGAAAGACAAAATCTTTACCAATGCAAGAGGTCAACGACACTAAGCGCTGATGATCTCAGAACCAAGAACGTCGTAACAGCATAAGACGATGGCAACTACAGTGGGATGCCGCAGAAAAGGGTAGATGGACGCACCGTCTTATACGTAAGATCAACGTTTGACTGAACCGGAGACACGGAGAGGTCAACTATTATTTAGCACAGATGCTATCTGGACACGGTTGCTTTCGGGCTTATCTTCACCGATTTAAGCACGATGATTCTCCTGAACGCCCAGCTTGCCAAGGAGTTAATAAAGATGCAGAGCATGTTTTCTTTGTGTGCCCGCGCTGAAGCGGAATAAACTGGAAAGAATCTTAGGGCAAAGGATTCAACCAGAAACACTATATGAATCAATGCTTTCATCAGAAGATGCTTGGAACGCCAGTAACTACACTATCCTGACACAACGACCAGATACGCCACCGTACAGGCACGCCATCACAGTACGATCGACCTGGCATTGACAACAAATCTACACGTAACATCCGAACCCATCACAAGAACACTTTTTAACTCCGACCATAACTCAGTTTTCATGACCATTACAGACAGATTCGACGTCGACCAGACTCCCAAACGTAAAATTCTAGATTACTCCAGAACCAACTGGCCAATTTCAGAGACATCAACATAGACAACACACGACGCACAATGCCAATCGATACCAACACTGACATTAAGGAGGCTGTGACACACCTTACACTGACAATCCCAGACGCTGTACAACATACTACACCGACACTAGACACAAGAACAACACCAGCCAACAACTTGCCAGAACGCATTTTATTAAAAATAAAACCTGAAAATCATACAAAGGAACTGTGGAAACGTCCTGGTGACAGACTACTAAAGAAACTTGTAAACGGACGACAAAAATTATTTCCATTGAAATACGTGACCATCGAAACAACATTTGGACCAAAAAACTAGATAACATGAACGGAGTACCCACATAAAATTCAGCCAACCGCAAAAAGACTGACGCGGAAACCAACATCCATACCTCCACTCAAATTAACTGACAACAATTACGCAACGACACCAGCAGACAAGGCGGAAATATTGGCTAAAAACTGAGAACAAACATAAACAAAATGCCAATATGTCAAACGCAGACCTGAGACAAGACGTACACGAGACAATTCAAGACTTCACTGACCTTCACAGGGACAAAGACTTACGAATAGACCCTGCCACAGTTTCCGAAATAAAAACAATAGTTAAGAAATGGAACAGGAAAGCACCAGGACTTTTTTTTGGGAGAAAGTTCATTTTTCCTTTTTTAGTACATGCATACAAACATATTGTATACACAATCAATATTCCTTATATATATATATATATATATATATATATATATATATATATATATTAAGATCATATATGATATATAAAGTACCCACGGGTAGACAAATATGTATAAAAAATAACAATGTAAAATGTGTGCTCAATTATTTCTATAAATACTTTTGTCTGTCTGTTGTGCGTCTAGTAATTAAAGATATAAATCCATTATTTACATATCTTTGTGATTCTAGAGATTTCGTTATATGTTTATATAAAGGAACTGACAGCTGCTCGGTTATGGCATCAAATGCAAAAGGTGCAGTGTAGGAGTTAATAAAAATTGCCACTCATGTTAAACGTTGCCAATGCGATAATTAGGGGGCGTCCATTAATCACGTGAGGTTTTTAGGGGTAGGGGGGGTTTGACAAAAAATCACGAAATATCACGTTGGGGAAGGAGGGGTATGGTAAGATATCACGTGTATTTATTTTTTAACTGATTTTTTTTTTAAAAAAATTCAAACATTTTCAAAAAAAGAATCAAAAATTTTTGTTTTTTCACATAACTAAAAATATAGGTGATGTTTGGTGAGGGAGGGGGGTAATTTTGAATATCACCAAGGGGGAGGGGGGTCCAAAAAAACTAGCTCACGTGATTAATGGACGCCCCCTTATGTTATCAATAATGCAAAATCATCGAAAATACTTTCCTGCCGCAATACATCTGGCTCAATAGGAAAAGTTGTGGCATTTGCCAATGCATCTGATAAAAGGCATGCGATTTTAAAGTTAGAACTTCGAGCTGTCGTGCGTATTTGTAAAACACACTGGGTAGAAAAACATGATGGGCATCTTCAGTTTCAAGGAGACAACTCAATTAAAATTTGTAGATCTCCAGGACCGCTTGTGTCATGATATACTTTAATTTATATAAGCTGAATGTTTTTATGCCAAAAATCGAATTTAACAATAAAGACATTGAAGCTGTAAGGCGACTATAAACTGTTACTAGATAACACTCCAGTGTTTATTATTGTAAATGAATATAGGCTGTGGACCCAGGATACATCGCAGGCTATATATGAAGTTATTACAAATTGTAACATTGATATGTATCCCAAAATAAGAAATTTTTTACAAATTATGGCTACTTGTCAGTGTGGCTACAGCAGAAAGGTCTTTCTCTCCATTGCGTAGAATAAAAGCATGGATAAGATCTTCGATTGAGGAAGATCGTTTGAAAGGACTAGCACTTCTCCATGTATATAAAAATATACCGATTGACGTCGATGATGTAGTAACGCGTTTTGGGAGAAGACATAAAACAAAAATTGATTTTGTAATTTGAAAATGTTTATTTTGCTTATCTTTTAAATTATTAAGTATGTTTTGTAATTATTATCTATTGTAAAATAGTTTTTTTGTAATAATTACATATTAGAATGTTAAGAGTAAATAGCCATTTGTAAACGCTAACATTGATATTAATATTAATATTATTATTATTTCTAATATTGTTATTTTGTTATATTTATTATTATCTTTCACTTATTGTTTTTAATCTACTTTATTGTTTTTCTAGTATCATTTTTATTATTCAGAAATTTTATTTATTTTACTTACTAATTTTATTATTATTATTTGCTTTTATTTTATATTAAATCAACATACTACGGATATCATTTCATTGAAAATTATATCCTTTATTTTGTACTCTTTTTATTTAAATTTATATTATTGTTCATTATTGTTACTAGATGTTAATTATTTATTATTTATTAGCAGTTGTAACAAATATAGTAATTAAAAAAAAGAATGCTAAGACTAATTAGTAATTATTATATATTTTATTTATATATTTATTTTTATTGTATATGTTATCTTGCGATTTTCAGATGTAGAGTACTTATTTACATTAACTACGGGAAGTTAATAAAATACATAAATTTTATTTGAAATAATTACAACTTTTTGATCACGTGACCTTTTTATTTTACTAAGCGGACCCTTCCCTGCTGGCGCCAAAGCTGGATCACACGCTGCTTAATAGTATAAGTGTGTTATTATTTAATATTATGAGGTATAATTTAACAACTTTGTGTATTCAAATTTATTGAATAATCATTTGCAGAAGCTGTCCAGAGAAACTGCGTTACGTTGATTTCATAGTATATTTAGGTGTTGTTCTAGCATACTCAGATGACTGGGACGGAAGAAAAAAAAACTATGTTATAGCAAAGAAGTCATATTCAAAATACTATAATCTATGATACCATTATGTACAAGTTTTAATTTTTAATATAAATTTATTTTGCAGGATCAATAATTATGAAAACTGGTGATGATTATTATAAATTATAATTTTAATTAAGTAATATTTTTAATTTAAATAATAAATTGTATTTTTCAAGAATATCACACATTTTCATTTCATTATTAATGATCAATACTGCGCTGTTCTCTTACTGTGTCAGCTATCATATAGAAAAACCGTCCATAGTTCATATTATATATTAACCTGAAATGGGCATGAAACAGGACTCTTACACCAAAGTTGGCAAAGCTAACCGAGAGAATAGAAGGATGCACAAGGTTTTGACGGTTGCTGAGTTTGCCATGAATAAAGCCACCAATACTTTTAATACTTTTTTTTTAAAAAAAAATGCTTTCATCATTTTGATATATTTTGGAAATTCTGAACTTTTTCTCAATCAAGAATAAAATAGAAACAGTGTTAAGACCGAATTCATTCAACCGGCATCAACGAAATAATAAAGTAATAGTCAATATAATTTGGATCAGAATCTCCAGGAGTTGTTTTATTAAGAACGTGCAATTTAAAAGTATACTGGTAGATATAATTAACAAAGTTTGGCTGAATCCAGAAGTAATAGAAGATTGGGGGCAACAAGTGATAAGTCAAAGATAGAATGATCAAGAGAAGATTAGAATGGTGGGATAGAAAAGTATGACATACTTACCAAATCCCAACGTGGATTTAGAAAGGGCATGGGAACATATGACAACTTAACAATTTTTATAACAGATCTACATCTATCAATGGCAAAAAACAAATATGTCGTTGCTTTATTTAGCGACATTAAAGGTGCGTACGATAACGTCCTACCAGAAGTGCTGGAAGATACTCTGGCTAACACTGGATTACCAGGAAAATTCATAAAATCGATTACGACTAACATCCGAGAGAGCAAGATTTTTTTCCGAATAAATGGGAAACTTATAGGGCCGAGAAAAATCTACAAAGGCCTGCCACAGGAAGAAATTCTTAGTCCCATCTTATACTCGATTTATGTAAGAGACATAGAAAAAATATGGGGAACAGGTACCAAAATATTACACTATTACAATTTGCAGATGACGTCGTAGTATATATAGAAAAATCAAGTCCTTAGGAAGCCTATGAGGTGATGAGTCGCAACATAGATCACTTCCATGAATGGCTCGCAAAGAAAGGACTGGAATTATCGGATGAAAAAAGCGCAATAGGAGTCTTTACATGACGCAGAAAGCTAGAAGAAAGAACATCACTAACGACTAAATACCATAGACTCAAAATACAAGAAACCAATAAATTCCTGGGTGTCACATTCGACAAAATATTATCCTTCAAAACACATATAAATCAGGCAATCATAAAAGTTGAACCAAAAATCAACATTTTACGTATGGTAAATAAGACATTGAGGGGAGCTCACACTACAACAGCCCTAAATTTGTACAAAACAATAATTA